TTCCTTCACTCCTAGGCTGGGACTGGGACTGCTGCCCTGTATAGATCAACTTTATCAGCCTGCAGGGCAACAGGTTTTGGGATCCTGTGATTGGTGATTAACATCCTTCTTACTACAAAGTGATTTTATTTAGCGATTAGGAAAAAAAACCCTCAATGATTTATGCTAAGCAGGATCCATGTTTTAAAGTGTTAACAATCCATAATGATAGCCTAGGTAGGCTTAGCTACTTAACACACCTCCAAATTCCACTGTCTGAGTTCTCCTTTGTACCCAGTGGGAATCCTTTTAAAGCCAGCAAGGGTTTTTTGTTCTCCTAGAGGCTGTTCTGGGAGCTGTTGGTCAAATCAGTGGCAGGGGGTGAGAGCTGAGAGAATGTCATTAGACCCCCTTGAGTCCCTTAAGTAGAAGCAGTTTGGACCAGTTTGAACCATCTTCTCCTTCTGGGATCATCCCCAATAGTCCTCTGTTAGGAAGCACTGAGTTAAAGCTATATGGAGACAGCCAGGCCACTATATAATAGAAACAAATTTAAGAGCACTCCTATACTTGTCTACTGCTGTGATATACCCTCCCCACCTTTGACTCTGGCTAGGTTTTACTTTAATGATTTCAACCATTTGAGGGGTTCTGATGACACTATACATAAGGGTGTGTAGTGGCATGAGCCTAACTGCTTGGTGGGCCTTAATTTCTGCAATGTTTGCCAGGCACCCTAGCTCAGAGACTTCTTTTATGGTTCGTAGAGAATTGAGATGGTTGTAGTGACTCACTTGAATGTCTTTTTCTGAGCCCATTTAGCTAGCCTGCATTCCTAGCTGCCCTAGGCTCTAGCTAGAAACAGGATTCCATGGACTAATGCAGTTAATTTTGCCTAGAGAAGCAGCAGGTCTTGGCTAAAGTGTCTCATTGCATCAAAAGATGCTCAGTTTTGTAGCATTGGGGGGGGTGGATCTGTGGAGGCTATGAACTTGTCAGTTGAATGGACTGTTCAAATCTCTGCCTATAGAGATAGTTCCCTACATTTACTCAATGTTCCTTTTATGAAGGTCTGTACAACTCTAAGGGCCAGGAATTTGTTTAAATGAAAACTGAGTAGGCAGTCCAAGTTTCACCAAAGGAAACTATGCATACAGGATACCCATCTATTTATCCTCTAAATCCTAATAAGACTTTCAAAACCATAAAACATGGTTGGTTTTCAAGTATGAATTTCTTTACTGAAGGGATGTTAAATAGTAACTACAACTATGTACTTTTCCTTTGCAATGACCTACTCCTAGAGAGTCAGGTCATAACTTCATCTCAGTGTTCCCTACTCTTGGAGTAGGTTAAGAGTTCCATGGAAGGAGGGAAGAGAATTTGACCTTATAGGCAGTAGGAACAACTTGCTTGTTTTTTTCCCTGCTTAGATAAAACTTGTTTTAAGATGGAAGCAACTTGCTGCAGTATCCTAACTTCCCATTGGCATTCCTGCAGAGTACAGGATAGAATATGTTTTGGTAGTGTGTGTCAGGCATCTTTGAAGAAGCCACATGTGAGTTAATACCCACCTTCCCCCACTTACTAGAAATGCAAGACAGTGTGGACCCTGAGAATTAGAACTGCAAAGAACAATCAGGAGATTTTTGTGCAAACAATTCAAAGTAAACCTGCAAGTAGTTCTGTTAACATTACAATTGCTAACTCTTATTTGAGGAAGGGTTAGTGTTGCAGGCTGCCTGTTCAGAGCCAACCAACCCTCACTGCTTCAGCTCCTGTGTGGGTTTCAAGCTATTCCTTCTGAGAAGATAGAACCATGTACGTGATGGAATGCAAAGTTAAATAATTCTCAGATCTTTGTATCCCTTTCTGGGTTGTCAGTAGGAATATACTGAAAGCTAAAGCAGTTCTCACTCTTGACCCTTACATACTTGTAAGGGAGACTCACAGGGAAGGAAGAATATTTTGAAAATAAAAAGGTTCCAAAATTGAGTAGCTGTTTTAGTTCACTTCAGCAGCTCCCAGTGGTGTTGGGGGGAAGAAATTACACCACAAACATGGCTCAGTGGGATTGGACCAGTGATCTATGGAATCTAGTGTCCTGCCAGGCAGTGGCCAATACTGGCTACTTCAAAGGGACAGAAAGCAACATGAAGGCAATTCTGTTCTGGAAAAGTCTACCTTATGGTACATAAGGCTTGTGACTGAGGCATGAATAGGGCCCTGCCAAATTCACAGCCATGAAAAACCTCACAGACTGAAATCTAGTCTTATGTGCTTTTACCCTATACTGTATAGATTTAATGGGGGTGGTGGGGAGAAACCATTGTTTCTCAGAATTGGTGATCCTGACCCAAAAGGGAGTTGCATTATTCAAAGCTGGGCAGCCAGAGAGCAGTGGCTGTTGGCTGAGTGCCCATACTATGCCATCCTCACTTCTGCACTGCTGGTGATAGTGGTGGCTCTGCTTTCAGACTGGGCTTGTGGCCATCACCTGCTCCTCTCCAGCTCTGAAGGCAATGCTGTCTCCAGCAGCACCACTGCAGTAAATGGAGCAGTACTGCAATCCCTACAAGAACCTTGTAACTGCCCCCACAGCTCCTTTGGGGGTCAGGACCTCTACAATTATAACACTGAAATCCCTGATTTAAAGAGCTGACATCATGAAATTTCATTTTTAAAATCTTATGACCAAAATGGACTGAATTTGGGGGGGGCCCTAGGCATGAGTGTCACTCCCTGCTTTTGGAAGGGATAAGTAGGTCAAATCTTCTGCATCGCAACAAATAGCATCCTGGGCAAAGAACTAGTCATTTTTCAAGACTGTTTAATATAACCAGAGTGTGGCAATCCTCTTCTGGTACAGAAGGCACTTAGACTTGACGGCACATAAAGAAGCCATGGGAACTCTTGAAGCAGGGACTCTCATCCAGACCTGGAACACTGTCAGCAACCAGGCCGCTTAGTGCAAGTTCAGAAAAATCCATGATGAGCTGTACTTAGCCTCTAATGCGTTCTGGTATCGAGGTAGAGCTCACCCTGAAGTTCATTGAGCAAGTTATGTTTCTGGGGTGGAGAAAAAACAGCAAGTGTTTAGGGCAGGGACTACTTAGTTGTCCCCTATGCAGCACGAGTGGGCCTATCTTTAGATGTTACTATCATACAACCACAGCACCACAAAGTCCTGGTGATCTCAACTACACTGTCCCAGAGAAGCTCTATTAAGTGACAACCAAGCACCATGGAAGCGTGGCAACCTTAACAGTATCCTTTAAGCAGGCATATCAGACTCACCACCTGATCAGGGGTCTAGGTTAAGTCAGAGTGTTTGACAAAACTGGCTTGACTTCTAGGGTACATCTATACCCCTATAAAAAAAGCCACATGGTAGTGCAGCTCAGAGGTGGGATTATGCTATGTGGCTAAAAGCAGCTGTGTAGACATTGTCTTGGGAGGGAGCACCTGCTTTGAAATCCAGTGTGGGGGGAAATCAGAGTCCAGGCTTGGGCTCGAGCCTGGATTGTCCTCACTCCTACTTTTAGTCCTATAAAACATAAGCCTGAGTCAGTTGACCTGGGTTCTGAAACTCACTGCTGAAGGTTTATTGCACTATAGACTAGCCACTACCACCTCTGAAAGAATGTAGAGAGGTGTCTCTTGTGGGGAAAAAAGCTGGGAATAAGGAGATTCCAATTCTAGAAGCTGTTCCATGATTCCCAGGAAGTTGTTGCCCATCCTTTTGTTGGTTTAACCATTAGCACCCCCTTTGGAAGGGGGTGGCATGAACAGGTATGCCTTTCATGCTAAAGGAGAGCATACATATTGACCATGCACCCCAGTTGTGCCCAGTTCATGTCAATACATCCAAAGAGCCAAGGCCCTTGGCGTCAAGCTTGCTACAGGTAAGATTAATTTTTGCCACAGTTGGTAGGGTAGGCATCTAGGAAACCATTCCCAGAAATCCCTTGGGGCACTGGGAAAGTGTAAGGGCAGGTCTACATTTAAGCACTGCACCAACACAGCTGCACTACCATAGTAGCATCATCACTAATGTGGATAGAAGAGCTTTCCCATAGGTGTAGCTAATCTACTGCCACAAGAGGCAGTAGCTATGTTGACATAGCACTGTCTATACTGGGGCTTAGGTTGGTGTAACTGTCAGAGGTGTGGACATTTCACACCCTTGAGCAATGTAGTTATACCAGTGTAGACCTGGTCTCAGCCTTATCTCAGGAAGATTTACAAATGAAGTTTCCATTCCTCTGCAGAAGCATCCTTTTGGAAGGAAGGGGCTACTGGATAGGTTCCCCAATTCCTTGTTTTACAAAGTGTTTGCTTTATGTGGGGAGGGACTTCTATAGAAATCTCTGCTTAGCTGTCTCACCCCCACCCACCCGCCATCTGTGATCAGCTGCTTGCTGCTTCCCATCATCATAATGAAAGAAAAGGGCACAATAGTGTGAGGCACTTCTCACCTGATAGCTACTAGAAAAATAAAAAGTTCTCATGTTGCACACTTCTCTTCCTATTTAACCTATCCTGGTAGGTTAGGAGACAATTTGACAGATTTAGACATACAGTTGTCTTAATATTACCTCATGTTATGATTAAGTTTTAAGTTGGAGAGCTTTGAAAGGACACTTCTTGTGGCCTTACCTGAAGGCTACAGCTTCCTGCTGGAATCTCCAGCACTAACATTGGACTGACTCAGTATTCCATATGCAAGAACAGAAAACAGCTTCCCTCAACTTATCAGATGGAGAGAGGTCTCAGTTTTTATCACCCCATGTTTGTCCTGTAGCCCAGTGGTATGCATGCAAGCATGAAGCCAGTAGGTCAGCTATAATGTGAGCTAAGATGTCTGTGTAACAAAGCATTCTGCAAAGACATTCTACCACTGTGGTCTGAGTGACTGAATTTTGGCAAGTACACACTGTAGAAATGATCACTCCTACAGGATAGTTTTTTTGAATGTGCAATTAAAATTTATTGCTTCACATTAGCAGTGGTTACCAGAAGGCAGCTGAAGCAGAATATGAATAATTTCAGGCTTAAGAAAGTGCTGGAGGAACTATGAACGAAGGTCAGTCTTCCAGCCAATGACAATTTCAGTTTAATAAGTGGAGGGCATGGAGCGTGACCACCACTTTTTGACAAAGAATGAAGCTTAGTAGAACCTGCCCATTTGCTTCATAAGCACATTTTAGAGATCAGTGTGCTTCAGTCTGAAAGCAAGAGCTTCCACCTTACTTGGAGTCTTGTGCCTATTCCAGAGATGAGGAAACTGGAACACAATAGCTTACGCTCATCATTATGATGAAGTCCAAGCCATGGCATAAAATTGGCAAGTATAAACGTATCATCTTCCTGTTAAGATTCCTCTTGCTCCTCTATTCAAATCTTTCTCAGCAGGTGACTTACTGTCCTGGGGAGTGCTTTGGTATTCCAAAGAAATTTCAAGGTGTTTAGATATGCCACCCTATTATTCCTGCATATTTGCATAGAGGGCTTCAAGTTGAGTCTGAAAGTATTTAGAGAGTTCTGTTCTCTTTGCCTTCAGGGTTGGAGTCAGGAGTCCCTGTTCAATAGTGAACATCTTTGGATGAATGTAGATGTCTTTTACCTGAGTGTAGAAAGACAGACATTTACACTTTCTAGCACATCACTGACAGCTAGTTGATCAGCATTTGAGGGGATCATCAGCACCATGATAAACTGAAGAGCCACTGACAGGTTTCAGAGTAGCAGCCATGTTAGTTCTATGTATATAAGTCTCCCCACTGTATTTTCCACTGATTGCAGCTGATGGAGTGAGCTGTAGCTCATGAAAGCTTATGCTTCAAAAAATTTGTTAGTCTAAGGTGACAAGTACGTATTTTCTTTTTGAAAAGCCACTGAATTTCCATTTGGATAGGTTCTTTACTAAGGAGGTTCAGGACTAGTATAAGCTACAGCAATGCATACTTCCCAGGCCTTTGGCAGCCACTGTTTGCCTGTGCTAATGCCCGTTAACAGAAAGTTCATAAATACTCACTTGTTCAAAGGACTTAAGGCCAGCTTCTCTTCCTACTTTGACCATGTCTTCTAAAATAGCTTTTTTCAATACCTAGAATACACCAAGTTGAAAAACAGACCTCACACAACAACACAGCAAGCAGAAGTTTAAAGCTACCTCCCTTTCTAAATTCTTGGTGGGGTAGCGGGCCTCTTGTGAAGTTATGCTTAGAGGTGTTGGATACTTACCACTCAGTGCTGTGTTCAGAGCCCTATAAACATCAGCCACATCCCTAGGAAGGCCAGTAGAGCATTATCCTCATTTGCCAGATTGGAAGTCATTACACTGCCTTAGTCTTCCTAAGCCCCTGTGGCAATGGCAGTGTTAAGATTAGAACTCAGGGCTTGCCACCTCAACCCAGTGCTTGCTCCGGGACACTCAAAATGAGTGAGACTAGCAACTAGTATTTTAAATGGAAGCTTAAATTATAGAACTCTAAAGACACTAAAGAAAAATCCTAAGTCCACCTTAAGGTAGTTTCTGCAGGACTGTTGTCTTCTGGGTGCATTATACTTGTGCTGCAGAAGACACAATCTTAAGATAAAGAGTCACTTACTGAATTTTTGTAAATTTCTTCAGATGAACCTTTTATTCCAAGTTTTGCTGCAAATTTTGCAAGTACTTCATGGTCAGGAACCACTACGCCCACTAGAGAAGACTGGAAAAAGAGTCACATTTGGAACAAGATGTATGATGTGAAAGTGTCAAAAGTTAAATGTTGAACAGGATTGCATTAAGCTGTTGGACTCTGTACAGGAGTCATACCTAGAATCTCAACCCAAAGAGACTTTGCAGAACTATAGGGTTCTCACTTTGCCTCTCACCGATATGGACAGATTCCCTTCTAAGACGACATGCATTATGGATCAGAGGAAGTGCCTAGTTAAGATCTGGTTTTTTTAAACAGTTGCAATTACTGCAGATAATTCATTGCCAGACACCTGGAAAAGTCTTGCCCACATGCTCAGGGCATAACTGATTACCCCGTTTGGTGTTAGGAAGAACTTTTGAGGTCAGACTGATGGAAATCCTCAGGGTTTGGTTTTTTGGGGCCTTCCTCTGCAGCATGGGCTGGTTTTAACCAGAGTAAGCGGTAGATTCTCTGTAACTTGAAGTCTTTAATCATGATTTGGAAACTTCAGTAACTCAGCCTGGGTTATGGCCTTATTGCAGGAGTGGGTGAAATGGTGGCCTGTGATGTGCAGGAGGTTTGACTATATGACCATGATGGTCCCTTCTGGCCTTAAAGTCTAAGTCTATAATACAATTGCCTGAGTTCTCTGGCTAGGGTGAGTGTTACATATACACCATCTACTTACTGTTAGAGCTTATTTACATTATGCAAAACTCTAAGTATGAGCTACAGTTTAATGGCGGCTTCAAATTAGAGTCTATAGCCATCCATCCTATGCTCTGGGCACTTATTTCTTAAGAGTTTGATGATTGCCCTCTGGTTTTTAAGATGTTTCACCATTTGTCTAAATGCTCCCATTGAAGTACATGGGAATTTTATCAACTGCTGTGATATTCAGGCAACTTCTGATCACTCAAAACCCACACTTCTCATCACCTCCCAGCCTACTTAGAGATCACAAAAATTGTGGGACAGCATCCTGACAAACACTGCTGAAGAGAAGATTCCTGCCCTCTAATAGGGAGGGCTAGCAAGAGACAGCCTGTTTAGCCAAAAGGGTCCACCAGTAATCTGACCTCCTGTATATCACAGGCCAGCTATACCCACATACTAAACCCAGAGGCTCTTGAGGGGAAGCTGCAGCTTGTACACAGAATGAGCTTCAGAGCAATTTATGGGTCTGAAGTACTCAAGGTAATGCTTCAAAAGGCCTGATTCTTCAAGGCTGAGCACTCGTTTCCTATTTAGGGAGTATAGCACTCAGGATAGAAGCAGTTTACCTTTAAACTGTCCCCATGTACAAAAACTTGGGCTACAGGAGCACTTCTGATGTAGATGTTTTCAATCTTCTCTGGTGCAATGTACTCTCCTTGTGCTAGCTTAAAGATGTTCTTCTTTCTGTCAATGATCTTCAGAGTTCCATTCTACAGTAATGTTTTAATGTTAGGGTATTTCCTAGTATTTAGAGTCATTCCTTCGCCCCCAAATTAAAGCTTGCTTCTAAAAAGAAGACCTACTCCCTTCTGTAATGGGTTTCATTTTTGTTGCATGGAATCATGCAGCTTGTCTCAGACAGCTGCATCTTCACAACCCCACAGAGAAGTTGAGAGGTACTAATTGGTTAAGTTAATCAGTTTCTCTGTAGCCCCAACCCCTCAGTTATTCTTGTAATTATCTCAGGACATAATTAGGCAGCACCTTTATTCTCTCTTAATAAAAAGATCTCACCTTGCCTGATCATTGTGAAAGCAATGGCATGTTCTTGAGTTAAATTACTGGCCTGACAGGTGTTATTTGAAGTCTCCCTTATCTGAGCTAATTGGTCTTGGGCACTCCACCCTCACCCCAGCAACTTTAACAGTTACTGGCCTCTTTATTTAACCACATATTGTACCAAGCATAGTGGTGAGAAGTGGTCCTTAGATGGACTCTACACTCTGACATCTAAGTTAGAATCAAGACTCAGACTCCAAACACCAGTTCTATGTCTAGATTATCTTTGTAGTATGCCAAGCAAAACCCCCAGATTAACTAAATGGAGTTAACTGGAGTTCATATCCAAAAGAAAGATGCTTAGGCCTATCTTTAACAATTTGGGATTATGTAGCCTATGACAGTCCAATACTTTTTGCCTTCACTACAAGTTTAGTAGGGACAATCACTTCCCAAAGATTCCTCTGCGAACTAGGGAAGTGTTCCTCCTATAGCAGGTATTAAACCAGTGACAACTTACTGGCATCCATTTCCCAATGTCTCCAGTGTGAAGCCAGCCATCCTGGTCAATCGCTTCAGCTGTTTTCTCAGGATCCTTCAAGTAACCCTTGAAGACATTTGATCCTTTAATGCAGACCTACAGCATACAAACAAGAGCACTTGTCATCACATGTAGCATTGCACCAATCCACACAGAATCACTCCAGAGACAGGTTTGCCTACCTCTCCTTCATTATTGGAAGAGAAGTAGTTCATGTCAGCCACATCTTCTAGTTTTAGAATATTGCAGGGTAGAGGGGCTCCAACATGGCCTGCAGGAGAAATTTAGGCAGATTTGTAAGGTCTGTAACCTTTTGCAGAATCCAGAGGTTACTTCCTTGCACCCTCAAGGTATTTTGAGGGTGTCAATTTAAAGTCAGTTTCTACTTTGCTTGGAGGGTCTGGAATTCAAAGCATTGAGATTTTGAGGGTCCCCTATATTGCTTTGGAGTTTCTAATCTGTGTACTATACAAGGTAGGAAAGCAATGGTTGGATTCAGGATTTCTTCACCATTGCAGGAAGAACAAACCCAACAGATCTTGATCAGAGGTGAAGAGCATTTTAGCTGCCAGGTTATTCATGCTGAAGCTATAGCATCTATTGAAATGCAAGTCATTGGTCCTTGCCACTGAGTGTTTAAAATGCTAGGACATGTGTAAGTGAGTTTGCTCCCTCCATCTCATGTCCTGGCATTTTTCTAATTAGGGTAAACTCCTCCCACCCTGCCCCTGCTCATCTATTTGAAATTTTACCCTGTCCTAAGTCTTGGCTGCTGTGTGCTGGTAAATGGATTTCTGCCTAGTAGCTTCACAGTGATGAAGTGATCCAAGTTGGATCTAGCCTTTTCCTGAATAAGGGTTGTATTGAGGCTTAGTTAACCCAATCTAAATATTGGGTATTATGTGCAACAATAAAGCAGCTCTGCATTCCTCCAGGAAGAGACAAAATGGAAGTTGATTCAGTGTTCCATATGTTGTGTAAAAACACCTGAACACGTAACAGTGCCTCCCTGGATTATGTTGAGGGCCCTACCACATTCATGGTCATAGGATTTTAAAAACCATGAATTCCATGATTTCAGCTATTTAAATCTGAAATTTCAGTGTTGTAATTGTAGGGGGCCTGACCCAAAAAGGAGTTGTGGGGGTGGTCACAAGGTTATTGTTGGGGGGGGGTTTGCAGTACTGCTGGTGGCAGCACTGCCTTCAGAGTTAGGCAGCTGGAGAACGGCGGCTGCTGGCTGAGAACCCAGCTCTGACGGTAGAGCCATTGCCAGCAGCAGTGCAGAAGGAAGGATGGTATAGCATGGTATTGCCACAGTTTACTTCTGCGCTGCTGCTGGCAAGGTGCCACCTTCAGAGGTGGGTGCCCAGCCAACAGCTGCTGCTCTGGCCACCTAGCTCTGAAGGCTAGAGTCAGGGTGGCAGTATTGTGACCCTGCTAAAATAACCTTGCAACCCTCCCCCCACAACTCCCTTTTGGGACAGAACCCCTGAATTTGAGGAACACTGGTCTCCCTTGTGAAGTCTGTATAGGATAAAAGCACACAAGACCAGATTTTGCAGGGGAGACTAGATTTTGTCATTTGGGACATGTTTTTCATGGCTGTGAGTTTGGTAGGACCTCCAATTGTGTTTCAGAAGAGATACTGAAGAGATTCTGGGAGAAGCGTGAGCAAGGAAGATGTGTGTGCGCTTTGGTCCTTTAGAGCCTTCTATGCCCAAAGAACACATTTCTATCCTTCTGCCCCCAACAGAACTATACAATTAGGCCACCTGGTCAGTAAGTTCATGTGATGAACAGAAGAGATGTTATTCAGGCTAGCCAGCCCTCATAGAAAAGTGAAAGCAAGGTTAACTGGTGCTAATGGGTGTTTGAGAAGTGGTGTACACTACAGGGCAGCAAGAAGCTGAAAGTATTTAAGTTGTGTCTAGCAGGGTGATCTTTTCAAAGGCTCCTAGGACAATTTAGTTGCCCAACACTTTCCATGGAAGTGAGGCCATCTGCCTTTGGCAGCTTCAGAGAAGACTTTCAATCTCAGCCATACCTGTTGTACAGTCTCCAGGCACAGTGAAGGTGCAGCCAGCTGCACATTCTGTCTGACCATAGGCTTCAAAAATCTGGATAAGATGGAAACAAATACCCTTTTAGTGCTGGAGTCCTTGTGCTGTCACACAAGAGTTGTGCCCATCTGTAGAGTGTCAAGGTGCACTTTACATGACAATATGAAGTCTTTGGCCACTTCTGGCCTATCCATCCTTTATATGGAATAGAAGTAAATTAATATTATGTACAGCTATTGTAAAAACCACCTAGATCCAATAGCCTACTTTTTTTGTATGGTCAGAGTTAGAAGATTGAGCCTACATCCAGTCCCTTCACATAAATGCAGAATTCCTAGTGCAGGCCTCCCTATTAATGGTCCAAGTGCAGATTGGAGTAGAGATCCCATCCAAACTCTTCCTATTGGCAAGAAAAAGGTAACAAATCTGTTTCCTCCCTGAGCTGAGCTGTCCAGAGTCCCTTCCCAGTTCCCTCCAGAGCCATTCCCACTACCTACATCCTGCATAGATCTAGTGGTGCACTCCCGCCACAGAGAGGCCTGCATAAAGTGGCTGAAGTGAACACGCTTGCTAACAGGGCAAGTTGCTAGAAGACTCCTGGCACCCCATTATACTCCCCTGCACATTGACTGCTGTATTGCAGGGAGCATCTTCTGGAGAGAAGAACTACAAGCCACTAAAAACAGTGTGCCACAAAAGGTTCATGTTCTCCCCCTTCTATACTAATGCTACAGCGTGGGGGGGTTGCAAACTTAATTTGCAGAGATGAACATGTACAAAAAACCAACAAGTCTTTATAGGATTGTGGCATTATGAGAGGCTTTAAATTCAGTCATCTGAATCACTGCTCCTCTCCACTCTCCTTTGCTTTCTATTTGGACTAAGCTTTTTGTGATAGGGAGTTAGTCTTTGGATTTGACTAGATGAAGTGCCTGACAGCATCAGCCTTCCAAGCTACCTCATCCTCCACTCATTCAGGAAGAGGCCCTTATTCTATATAGCACTGAACTCTAAAGATTGTATGATGTTGGATCCAGCTAGAAAAATGCAGGTACATAGATAGGGGAGAAGAGTGTTAGTGTGATCCAGAGTCAATGATGGAGAGTCTGTTCTAGATGTGAGGTCTTTTAATGAAGACTATTCTGCAGTGTGGAATGCTATTGCATTTGTCTTCTCAGCATGTGGAGAAGTCCATACTTCATACAAAAATCATCCCCTACTACTCAGTCTGGGCCAGTGTAAGTGCCATCTAAAGTGTTCTGCTAACTTCTCGAACTTGATTTGACAGTAGTCTCAGAGAAGGTGGCTTACCTGACATCCCAATGCTCCTCTGAGAAGTGTCAGGACAGAGGGAGATATGGGGGCAGCTGCTGTTACCATTATACGCACCTGCCCACCCATGGTCTCCTGCAAGAAATGATTAGAGTAGTCAAAGCAGAGCCTGATCCATCTAAACGAGTCAAGGGTTTGTGACTAATCAGCATGTTTAATGGTATCTCACTTTAAAGCTGTGTATGGGAACCTGTGACTTCATTCAAGGTATGCCCATTTTCTGGATTTCTTCCTCCTCTCCTTAATGGAGAGGATTGCCACAAGCAGCTAGTCATTTTCTATGCCACATAAGCCCTCCAAAGGCAGGATACCACCTCTCGAACAGAACTGAATATGGCTCCAGCAAATGGAGGACTAAGGCTTGTGTGCCATTCACTGAAGGCAGAGGATCACAAGACATTCCAACAGGTCTTCCTATCTAACAGGCATCAGTGGTGCCAGCATCAAGCTTCTCAAAGGAAGAGTTGAGACATCACGCTTTTCTGTCCCACTTGGCTCTAGAACATGGAGGCTACCTTTTGAAATTACTTCAAGGCAGCCATGTCTAGCTTAGAAGTCAGATCAGCATTCCCCTCCCCCATCCCAAGCTAATTTGGCAAGGGTCTCAGGGTGCTTTTCGAAGTGCCAAGAATTACAATCTCTCAACTGAGGTAGCTACAAGTAAAATCCAAGCTGGAGGTGGAATGCTGGTCATGTATCCATTTTAAATGGGCAGCCAGTGATAACTCCAGGATTAAATCTCTACCTTCACCACCACCTGCTTTCGCTTCCAGCTCTCATTTCCCTCCCCTATCCATGCTGCTATTGCCCCAATTTGGTTGTTGATCCAGGGGCTGCTCACTCTGAACAAAGAGCTAGGCTATTCTTAGATGCCAGAAGAGTATCTAGTGTACTGTACCTTACACTAACACTACCATAAGGAGCAGTCACCAAGGACTGGAAACGTCTAGATTTTAAGGACAAGTCATTCTATTTAATAAGGAGAGAAGAAGTCCCACCTTCCAGAAAGTTCAGTTTCAGCTCAACGCTGCCTTCAGACTAAACAGGTGCAGAGTGTTCCTCCCCCCCAGGACACTTCAATCCAACTGGAACACAGCAACTCAAAGTTGCATTCATGCAGGTGTGTACAATGAAGTCAATCACTGCAAGTCTAATAGTTTTTCTGCATTGTTTAAACTATTGCTATAAAATAGTGTAGTGTTTTTAGAAGTCCTTGTGTGGAATTCACCTCAGTGTTACATGTTTCCCATTCTGGGCCTGATCTACAGATGTTCTAAGTCTGCTACAATACAGCTTGGCTCTTCAGCTCATGACAGACTCTTGCTTTCAGCTCTGATCTAAGGTAAACGGCCTTACAGCAGATGGGAGCCTTGTGTGGCTTACCATGCTGTTCTAGGCTCTGCTTATCTCCACCAGCTCATCTATCACCTTATTTGGGCCTGGAGTGGTTACTGTGAATGTTGTTTCTGAATTCTATGCCTTTGAGACATACCTGGACTTTCTTAAAGATCATTTTGTCCCAGATGCTGTCATTTCGGAGAATGCCCTTCTTCACTTCATCCAGTTTTCTGGCTATAGCAAAGCTTAACAGAACCCGTTTCAATGGATTCTGTGCAGCACTTTGTATCTGCAGGTGAAATGTTTAAAAGAGTTTAGTCATGAGCTCACCAGGGTATTTTCCCTCATGTTCTCTCATGATAAATTAAACATTTTTAAAAATTTGAAGGGTGCTAGATTCAGTGTCCAGTGCCATCTTCATCCATTTAGATGATGCATGGACATTGGGAAATACAATGGTGCCACTTGGTGTAGTGGTCACACCTCAGCCATGACCTTGAGGGACTGCCTTTGTGGTAGAGATTGGGCCATGCAGAAATCTGCATAGTACACCATGACAGTAAAGACTGCCAACAGGGTTTGTGCTTTAACTAAGAGCAGACATTCCTGCTATGAGTGTTAGTTGATGATCCACATTTAATTTGATTTTCATGGGAAGTATGAGGTATTTCTAGTACTGAAGCATCTAGGAGCTACAATCATGACCCCAAGCCCCCCCATTATAGCCTCTGGCACAAAGACAGTGCTCACTCCTCTAATCAGAGCCTCTGCCTCCAACTTGTGGGTAGTCAGTACATTTAAAGCCAAGTTTCCAGTGAGTGCTAAGTTGTGTGAATTTGCAACTGTTGGAAGCAGATTTAAGTGCATATCCCCCTTTGTGTAAATTCATCTAGGAAAGCTGCAGCTTTGAGTACCTGGTCATAGATCCTGTTGAGCAATCTTGGTACTGCTGGAAACATAGTTGGCTTCAAGGTTTTCATGTCATCTGTTAGTAGTCTAATGTCTCCTTGGAAGAAACCCACTCTTGCTCCGCTGGAGTACATTATAGTCTAGAAAGGAAACATGCAGAGAATGGGCTTAGTCCTGCAAGTCCTTGCTTGGGGTAAGAATTCCCAGCCTCACATGACTAGAAGTCTCAGAACAATTCAAGAGTCTAAGGCTATGCAGGCTTGTCTTATCTGTAGCATGCAGCTTCCTTGGAGGAGTGAAACTGTTATCCTTTGTACTTGTGTATGACCTGGTAGCTAAGGATGAAATCACTTACTCTTCAACATATCCCCATTTTATGGATGGGCAAGTTACTTTTATCTGTTGACCTACAAGAGGGATGTCATTTGGTTTAGTTTCTACTGTGAGAGCCCAGACTGTAGTGGAATAAGTGAAGAAACAGTGACTAGTGATATTAAGATCTTTAAGAATATTACATTCACTGCTGTTTTCTTAGCTCTAAGTGCTTCCTGTATTCAGTGTTCTTTAGAAGTAATAAGATTCAGTATCCCTGAGATTGTAAAATGGAAATTGCAAGCCTTTATCAGATAGGGAAGTGGAGACAAAGAGGCCAAGTAACTTGTTCAAGGTCATTGAAGTAGCTCAGAATAAGGATTTAACAGAAGATGAAGTTGGGTAGTGAGTGTACTTTGTGAAAGGATATTACAGTATGGTCCACATGTAATGTACATTTGGGCTTCTGGACCTAGTCCGGGAGGATTTATTGCTTCTACAGGGGAATTAGTGTTAAGGGATGTTCTCGCAGTGTCATTTGTTTAGGTATTTTCTTAGTGTCCTCTGCCCTACACTTTGCAATGGTGTGACAGTGTTGCTTTGGTGGGTATTTCCCACCATCAATCCCTTCAGAGGTAGCAGATACCAAGCAGGGCTACATTTGTCAGCTAGAGTTCTGACAAAAGGCTATTTACTGCTTACTTCATTCAAATTGATTGAAATGTGAAAAAAATGAGACTGAATCCATCTTAGTGATATCAGTAAGATGATTGGCATCAAGTTCTGTGGGATCAGTGCAGTTCTCTTGCCATCTGGTTGAAGAGCTTTTCTGTGCCTTAGGAATAGGAGAGCCCTCAGTTCCTCCCTAACCCATTACTTCCTTTATCTTGCTCACATTCAACCCCTATTGGATCAGGCCCTTGATATAAGGAGCTCTGGGCCTGATATTCTGGGGATATTAAGGTGTTGCAGGTGAATGTTAGAGAGTCAGTGTGATGGACTAGACCCTAGTATTCACACCTGTTGTAATAGTTTTGTGCAAAGTACACCTGGTAAGGTAATCATTTGAAAACTCAATTTGCTGATGATACAACATAACTTTACATAAAATATGTATGGCAAAGATTTCTCTGTATGATGTTAACACCTGTTCCAAATGCCATGGCTCACCCAAGCAGATGTTGGCGAACAGGTCTGTCCTAAAATAAAGGAATGTGTGTTGTGCTTAAATTTGCATTTCAGCAATAAAAGTGTCAAGCAGGAAGGGAAACAGGTGAGCAACGATGTTCCCCACTGGTTATCTCCTTGTGCCCAACTGGAAATGTTTTTCAAGTGAGGGGACTGAAACTATAAAAAGGAGAGACAAACATGTCAAGGCATCCCCTCTTCCTGCCCATCTCATACACTACTTTTTCCCTGTTGCTTCAGGTGCATTTGTTGGACTCTGAGGGAAGGGGTCCTGACCTAGAGTTTTGTCAGTATGTCTACACTATGAAATTAGGTCAATTTTATAGAAGTTGATTTTTAGAATTTGATTTTATACAGTTGATTGTATGTCCACACTAAGTGCATTAAGTCAGCAGAGTGCATCCTCACTACCCTGGCTAGCATCAACTTACAGATCAGTGCACTGTATCCCACAGTTCCTGCAGTCTCTGCTGCCCATTGGAATTCTGGGTTAAGCTCCCAATGCCTGATGGGGTAAAAGCTTTGTTGGGAGCGGTTTTGGGTACATGTCATCAGGCCCCCCTGCCTCCCTCCCTCTGAAAACAATGGCAGACAATTCTTTCATGCCTTTTTTCCAGGGTCCTGTCTGCCAACCCTGCTCAGCCTGCTGTCTGCCTTCGATGATTGCAACCCCAGGCAGGCAGTGGGCTGAGCGGGGCCAACGAATGGAGCCCCAGACCAGCAGCGGGCAGAGTCTGCCAGTGGCTCTGGCTGCTGGCTTCTGCCAGCTGGGGTCCTGGCTGCCAGGGTCCTGCTCAGCCTGTGGCCATGCTTGCCATATCATGGCAAGCATGGAGCCTGCTCAGCTCACTGTCCCTGTACATCTCCTGGGTGCTGATGGCAGATGTGGTACTGCAAACAGCAATTCTTTCCTGGCCTCTGCCACTGAATGCCTCCATGCATTAAGCTGTGCCCTATCAGTGCAGGAGGACTGCATGAGCTCAGAAAACAGGTAATTGCAAGTGTTCCCCCCCACCTCCTTCTAATCTGTGATAACCTCAGGGATGGAGATGACAGAGGGAGCAGAGAAACATTGGCTTTATGATTCTGAGGGGACTGCATGGTCACCTGTGCTGCCAAGTTCACCACACTGGCCAAATAGGAAATGAAATTCAAAAGTTCCTAGTGCTTTTCTTGTGTACTGGGCTAGTGCATCTGAGTTCAAAGTGCTGTCCAGAGCAGTCACAATGGAGCACTCTGGGATAGCTCCTGGAGGCCAGTACCATCAAATTGTGTCCACACTACCCCAAATTTGACCAGGCGATGTAGATTTCAGTGCTAATCCCCTTGTCGGGAGGAGTAAAAGAATTGATTTTAAGAGCCCTTTAAGTCAACAAAAATGGCTTCATTGTGTGGATGGGTACAGGATTAAATCGATCTAATGCTGCTAAATTTGACCTAAACTCATAGTGTAAAGCAGGGCTCAGATAGCTAAAAGCATGTGGTGAGAAGTGTTGCTTGAATCCACTAGTTTAGTATAGCAAAAAGACAGGTTTCAGAGTAACAGCTGTGTTAGTCTGTATTCACAAAAAGAAAAGGAGTACTTGTGGCACCTTAGAGACTAACCAATTTATTTGAGCATGAGCTTTTGTGAGCTACAGCTCACTTCATCGGATGCATCTGATGAAGTGAGCTGTAGCTCACGAAAGCTCATGCTCAAATAAATTGGTTAGTCTCTAAGGTGCCACAAGTACTCCTTTTCTTATAGCAAAAAATGTAACCCAAGTGGGGCTAGCAGACTGCAACTATGCAGATAGTTGCATGCTGAAAGGGTGTGTGAGAGAGCAATACATGTGGGAGCTACTTCAGCAAGGCATTGTAAGGCACCCAAGGTTGCAGGACAGAGGTGACATTAGTTTGGATCATACCCTGGTAAATCAGTCTCCTGACCTGTGCTGCAATGGTTTTGTAAACCAATTTTTTTGAGATATTCACAGGTCTGTGTGTTCACACATCCAGAGGGCTTATAGTATGTTTGAGTAATGCACCAGTTTGTCCGTCCACATATGTATTTAGATTAGAGTTGTCAATTAATTGCAGTTAACTCATTAATTTTTGAGTTAATCAATCACACTGTTAAAACAAAAGAATCCCAATTGAAATTAAATATTTTTGGATTTTCTTACCCTTTTCAAATATATTGATTTTAATTACAACACAATTGAAAGTTTACAGTGCTCACTTTATATTTGATTACAAATATTTGCACTGTAAAAAAAGGATAAGATGTATGAGCTGAATTGAAAAGTACTAAGTACTGTTGTGCTTTCATGATAATGAGATTGCACTACTTACAAATTTAGGCTCTGAAGTTTTACATGGTTTTGTTTTTTGAGTGCCATTATGGAACAAAAAACCTACAAGTCCATTTAGTCCTACTTCTTGTTTCTCGTAGCAATTGGATGAACAAGTGTGCTTACATTTACTGGAGATAATGCTGCCCACTTATTTACAATGTCACCTGAAAGTGAGAACAGGTGTTGGCATGACACTGTTGTAGCTGGTGTTGCAAGATATTTATGTGCCAGATGTTCTAAAATTCACATGCCTCAGCCATTGTCCCAGAGGACATGCTTCTGTGCTGAAGAAACTCAGTAAAAAAATAACGTATTAAATTGGTGACTAACCTCTTTGGCCAAGAATTGTATGGCTGCTGTTTTACCTGCATTCTGCCATGTATTTCATGTTATGTGAGTCTCAGATGACCCAGCACATGTTCATTTTAAGAACACTTTCACTAAAAGTTTGACAAAAATGCAAACGAGATACAAACATGAGATTTCTAGAGATAGCAATCAACCCAAGTTTTAACATTTGGAAGTGCCTTCCAAAATCTGAGCAGGATGAGGTGTGGAGCATGCTTTCAGAAGTCTTAAAAGACCAACACTGATGTGGAAGCTACAGAACCACCAAGAGAAAAGTCAGCCTTCTGCTGGTGGCATCTGATGCAGATGAAAGTGAACATGCATTGGTCTGCACTGCTTTGGATTGTTATCGAGCAGAACACATGTCCTCTGGAATGGTGGTTGAAGTATCAAGGGACATATAAATCTTTAGCATATCTGGCATGTAAATATCTTGTGAAACCAGCTACAAGAGTGCTGTGCCAGGCCATCGCCTGTTCCTCACTTTCAGGCGAGATTATAAACAAGCAGCAGGCAGCAGTATCTTCTAATGAAAAGACTTGTTTGTCTGACAGTTTGGCTGAATAGTGAGGGATTTTAGAAAGCAGACAAGTTAGGACACAATATAGACTACATGAGATGTGGAGAAGGTAAATTGGCAGGCTATTAACCTTCTCCGAAGAGTACAAGAATGGCCAACTTCACTGGGTGGCCTGATGCCTTTAGATCTAAAGGCAACACGTTAGCAAATGAAAGCAAAGTTTATATAATGTGTAATGTAGCCTGCAGAACTTGTTGCCAAAAATATTTAGTTCAAACCTTTATTGGCAAGTTTCAAAAGAGTTTATATGGCTAATCAGAACATTCATAGTTACATTTGTTTAGTGGTTGGTATATGCCTTGGAACATGACTATTAATATCACTAAATAATGGTTTTAGAGGTTGCCCTATGGGCCAATCTGGTATTGGCCACTCACATAAATCAGTAGCTAACTGTGCTACTGAGTTAAGTGTACTATTTATTGTAGGATTGGCTGCATGACTAGAACAGCTATACCAAGGTCCTTCCTGTAATGATCTGGTAGAACATAAGGAAACACATACATAAATTAAGGGCTTGGTTTACTCTTACCTGTACTACTCTCTCAAACATGTGAGCCAGAGGAAGATAGGACATGGAGATGTCTGAAGTCTTGCAGTCAAATGTAGTCTACAGGGAAACAGAACAGCATTGAGGCAGGAGCGGATAGTCATGCTACAGCAGTTAAACATATCTGTTAATTCTGTTAACTGCTGTATTGAAACAGCAGGTAATTTTACACCTGCTCCATCCTACTCAGAGGTTTGGAGTCAGAACTTTGGGGAAAAAAATACCACTGAAGTTAGCCACACTCCCTCTATCCCCTATGGTATCTGCAGTCCTTGTCTAGAAGTAGGTTTCCCCGCCTGGTTTGGAGCCAAGTCAGGCACTCTTGAAAGAGTGTCTTGTGTTCCTTCTAGGAGCATGTCCATGCAGGGACACTCAGGAAAGTTAGACAAGCCCTAGGAAAGGCCCAAGATGGGAAGTTCAGATCCTCATAGGAGCAGCCAGGATTTAAATATTTCAGATCTTGTGTTCTGGCTCAGATCCATTCCTAGGACTGACTACTAATTTCTGTAAAAGATACATTCATGTTCTGGCTTTGTACATGAGTGAGGTTAGTGGTCTTAGGCTGGTCTACAGTGTAGACTTGTCCATTTCAAAGCCCTGAACACAGTGTAGGCTATTGTTAAGTTGACTGTGGCAACTCAGGAGGACTTGAATATAGTTTTGTGGAGCTGGGTGGCTTAGACAGGAGATCTTGCATTACAGCCACTTCAAGCCTGACCCGCCAAAAGAATAAGCACCAAGTTTTAGTCTGCAAATGTGAAAGCAGCAACTTACCTCTGTACTTTTAAGGAAAGCAGCAGTATTTGCAACAACGTTTTCATGTGTGAGCATGGCTCCTTTTGGGTTACCTGCCAAAGATCATGGGGGAAGAACAAACTCATGGCAGCCAGAGCCACTAGGGATCTGGCAAGTTTTACAGTTTACATTTGCTCAGTCACTTGTACATTTGCAAGCCCTCAGGAGATTGATTGTGGTATGACTATGTAGTCATGAGACAAAGCTTTTGGATCAGAGATGAAAATCACCACTACATAAATTACATCTAATGCAAGTGTGCCCAGAACATGGCCTATAGTATCCTGAGGTTCAGTCTAGGAGTGTCTCTGGCTAGGCATGTTTTAAAGTGGAGGGGAGAGCTGTAGGTTTAAGGGATAGCATGCCTGAGATGGAAGGCCAGATTCTGAGACTGGTGAAGCTATTCACTTGAGTGGAGTTGCAAGGATGTAACAAAAGGAGGTTTTTGGCTCATATCTGCTATCCCTCTATAATGGCTTCAATTTTTATGGTTTTAGTGTATTGTATGAAGCCTCCTACAGTTATTCACTACAGAACGACAAAGCAAGACAGGGTCTCATTTGATTGCAAGTACCATCAAGCAGCTTGTTGATCACAGAAGGAAGCTATATTTTCTGCATTTCATGTCTTGAGAAGTTTCCAGTATTCCCCTCTTGATTTAATAGTCTCCCCTGATCCAAGGGAAGAAAAAATTCAGAAACGACAAAACAGACTTTAGTGTCTGAACTCTGCTTGTTACTTACCTGTTGTTCCACTGGTGAAACAGACAACACTAAGATCCTCAGGTTTAGGAGGCTAAAAAGATGACAAAAGCAGTGTTAATTTCATAATCAAGATTTTTTTTTTTAAATCCTTCTCCCCATTACTGTCATATCTGGAAAGTGCTTGGACAAGCCAGCAGCCAAATCCCTAGCTTTCTCCCTTTTCCAGCAAGGCCCTGCTTGGGTTTTTATTTTTGTAAGTTTGAGGTAGAAAGGAGAGGATCATTGTTGACTCATTGTTATGGTGGAGAGGCCTCTTCAGAGAGGCAGGTTTGCAGTGCTTTCATCAAAGAAAGATTAAAAGTTTCAGTAACTTACAACAGGTTCTCTTAAGTTGTTCCTGCCCAGCTCCTGTGTCAAGATAGATAAAAAAGACAGCTTTAACACATTGTAATATCAAAGTAAATGCAATGTAAGCAGGTGAAACAAGCCAGATGGGGCATGCGATTGTTTAGCCAGCATGCATTTTGCTGGTGTCAAGGTGTAAACTCATTGAGACAGGTGCTAGGCCTTCCCTGCACTGCCACAGCAATTACTGCAGAGCCCTCTTCAACATACTCAAAACAATTAAGTACAAAGCTGGCTGTGAAGAGCTACAGCAGATCTCACTAAACTGGGTGACAGCATGTCAGATGAAATTCTATGTTAAGTGCATAGCAGAAAATAATTCTAATTGCATGTACAAAACAGGGTCTAAATTAGCTGTTACCACTCAAAGATCTTGGAGTCATTGTGGATTGTTCTCTAAAACATCTGCTCATATGTAGAACAGCCATAAAAAAAGCTAACAATGTTAGGAACCACTAGAAAATGGAACGATAATACAATGGAAAATAGGTCACTATATAAATCCATGGTACACCCACACCTTGAGTACTGGGTGTGGTTCTGGTTTCCCCATTAAAAAAGGATTCAAATTGGAAAAGTACAGAGAACAGCAACAAAATTTAAGAGTATGGAACAGCTTCTATAGGAGGAGAAATGAAGACTGGGACTATTCAGTTTAGAAGAGAGGGATAGGATAGAGGTCTAGAAAAATCATGAATGGGTGGAAAGGTTATATAATCCCTTCTCATAAGAACTCTGGTCACTCAGTGAAGTTAGGCAGGTTTAACAAAAACAAAAATACAAAAGTATTTCAAGATGCAGTCAGTCAATCTGTGAAACTTGTTGCCAGGGGATGTTGTGAAGGCAAAGAGTATAACTGGGTACAAAAGAATTAGATATACTCATGGAGGATACAGCCATTGCTAGCTATTTCTAAGATGGTCAGGGATATAACCCTATGCTCTGTATTTTCCCCAAGTCTTTGGCTACCAGATGTCAGGAACGGACCACTTGATAGTCATCCTGTTCTATTTATTCACTCTGAAGCATCTGGTAATGGCCTCCTGTTAGAAGGCAGGCTACAGGGCTAGATGGATCATTGGTTTTTATCAAATATGGCCATTAGGTTCTTAATATTCCTATCCAAGAGGTCCAGCAAGTCTGCCAGCTTGTGTTAGGCTGTAAAACTTGCTGAGCCCATGCATATTACAAGTTACAGCTCTAGAATCTTGTGCTTTAGATCTCCAGGGCTAGCTCTCTCCAGAAGGAGCTTCCAGTTAATTTCTGGAGAGCATGAGGGAACTCAAGAGGTTGTACAGACATACCTTAGTTGGCTATTGTTCAAGAGCTGCAGAAAGTCTGTCCATTCAAAAAGGAGTTTCTGCAAGGCTTACCAGTTTGATTTGACTGAATTTCTTATTCAAAAGTCTGTATGTTTTTATTTAAGGGAGCACAGATTAACCCCAACATTGCTATTGTATAAAAAGCTAGACATTTTGAATACCAAGTATGCCTACTTAAAACACAAAAAAGAGGAGTTTGTAATAGGAGGAGTGTTGTATCTAAAGAGGATAATACTAAGTTACAGCTTCTTAATAGGTGGTACATGACAGAGCCATGGAGTGTAAAACTAGGGAAACTCCAGTTACCAGTGTAGTAAACATGTCCAGTGTCAGTATTGACCTAGTCAATACATTGCTGTCTCTTCAGATTGTTTGTTCATACCATTGAATGTTCAGTCTGAAGCTCTCAGACTAGCAGTGAAATTTGACTCTGGCTTCAAATCAAGTCTCCTTGAATGATCATATATAGTTAGCATATATATCCTTCTCTTACCAAGTAGCTGTATTGACCTTTCCCTGAAGTCACCAGATAGGCTGTCAGTGAGGGATTCACATACCTCAGCTTCCTGAAGCGACAGGATCTCAACTCCTTCTTTGGCACCTTTATCTTTGAACTCATCATCAAAGAGATCCATCAGAATGATGGTCTTCAGACCTGGGATCTTCCCTTGCTCACAGTTTTCAAGCAGGACTTGTGCCTTTTCAGGTTTGTCACAGATCACAATGGAGATGTCACCTACAGGAAGGGAAGAGCCCACACTTCAGAAACCTGATCCAACTCCTGCTGAAATTATAGGAGCCCTGATCTGACCCTTATTGAGATTAGCCATGGATTGATTAGAGGTTAAAGGAAATTCAGGTTCTGTCCTTCAGATCTTTCAGCATGTTAAGTTCTCATTTGAAAGGTTGCAGCCAAAGCCAATAGTTGAAGTTAACAAATGCTCTGCACTCAATTACTATGGTTACAAGTCTGGGCCTCTACTAATGGAGTCATACCAGGGCTGGATTTGACTTACAATATACAAGTGTCAACCACTGCACCCTGCCCCACCAAAAAGGGCTTTACATTTTAGTTGTACACACAGAAGTGGGTCTTGGTTAAAGTGTAGCTTCTCAACAGGGGATAAAGTTTTAAATGCCCATCAATTCTTTCCTTAAGTCCAAGATGGGACTTGGTCATTTTGAGTGACTGAATATCCCACTGTAAATACTTGCTTCTTTCCAGCTAGCATGTATCCCAAGGAGCATTGGCCTCAAATACTCTGAATTTACAGAAGCCTTTTACATGTGTTTTTAGTAATTGCATGTTGTGGTAAGACAGTAATGGAACACTAATGAGCAAGCGACATGTTCAGACTCAAATGAATCTAATTAGATTACAGCTCTGTTGTCCCAGAAGACTGAACCTGTTGCTAAGGTTAGCTTGGCTTGTAATTTAATTTGTAAAGATTTTACAAGTTGACTGATGGTCTGATTCTGTTTGGCAAATCTTGCCTTTGGTTATTTTTAACAAAGTTCTGACAAGGAACTAAGCAAGATAAAGACCAGTGGAAGAATCAGTGACCCAAGGGAAGACTTGAAATAGACAAGAGGGCACTCATTCATTTTACTAACTTTGGATCTAATCACATTGACAATTTTGTATTCAGTTAATCGCATAGGATCTCAGGCAAACCAAATTAAGTGCATACTTAAGTGTTGGCAGGATTGGGCCTTCGTTTTACCCTTTGTTTCAATTGTTTAGAGTCTCACCTCAAATTATGAGGATAGTGCACTGGTTTGCTTTTTCTGGTTGGAGAGAGTTTGTAGGGGGGGTCTCATTAATAAGTGAGATACAGATGACCCAGTTCCTTCCAATCTCTTCCCAGTCCTTAGAATCTAGTGGACAGTCACCAAAGCTTAGTACAAGAATTCTCCCAAGAAATGTGGTGGTAGGCCTATTGCTCAGATCATGTCATCTTACAGGATAGGCATTGAGAAAGCAGTGGTAGCTACAACTGTGCTGAGAGTTTAGGGCCAAGTTGCAGAGCTGGAAATGAAGAGGTCTAGGTTTGTTAGCTAGTGTAGGTCTAACAGTTCTGAAAAGCCACAACTACTATGAAACCTGAAGCAGAAGAGAAGCATTGTTAGGTCAGTGAAAGTGGAAAGGAAGAGTTCTTTATTGTGAAGAGTACATAAGGTTTTTACCTTTGTTAATAATAAATGCAATGGCATCTGGCCCCAGAGTGTCATAGAGTGGAACAGCGACCATTGAGTAAGTGTAACAGGCATATTCTGAAATGATCCACTGCACAAAAGTAGTAAGAAATAGCACTGTTAGAGAAGCAACTACCCTGAGTTTGTTACCAGAGATGCATGGTTGTTCAAATGCTTTTGCCAGAGCAAGTTTAGTAGCCTGTAGAGTAGCCCCTCATACATATACATCTAGTATAGATTTATATATGAACTGCTTGTTATGGCATCCAGAACCCAGATCTTCATGGTTAGTCCTAGGCAGCCACCTGGACACTGATGAGCAGATACAAAAAGGTGACTGGAAGGAAGACAAAGCCTAAGCCCAGTAGGAGATCTGATTACTGTTCGCAGATCATCACTTGGAGCCCAATCCAACCCCAACCCTATTTAAATAAATTGGGGGCACTCCACTGAATTTAGACTTCCATGAGTGCTGGACAGTTGCCCATAGCTAGGGTTCTGCTTGTCACTTACCTCTGGTCTATTTTGAGCAAAGATGCCAATAAATTGGTCTGGTGATGGTTTACATCCTTTGAACAAGAGCCCTGATCCCAGGTATTCAGCTCTGTCTGACACCTGCAGGAATAGAGGAAGTAGTTTTGGCTCATTACCACTGGAGACTGCTACAAGGTGCTGATCCATTCTTTGGACTGTATATAAAATAAGTGGAACTAACCTGTTTGTAAGTCAACCACTGATATGGCTGTTTTGGTTTTCTATACCCCAAACATGGTCCATTTCCTAAGAAAAGTTGGGAAAGTTTGTTATGAAAATTTACATCAGTTTTATATTAAAACTGATCTTCATTTACTGGGCTGTCTTCAGTAAAACATGGTAAGCGCTTTGTTGGCTCAGTCTTATGTAGTTAAGTGTTTTGCTAGAATCTTTATTTAGACAAGTATCTTTAACCCTGAGAAGAGACTGCACAAGAGATCAATCTTCTAAACGATCAGGGAGAACTACAAGAATTTGTGCGCCCCATAAAGAATGTTTCTTGGACAAGTCATTTGTCCAGAGAGCAAGAGAGTTGGGTAGCAATTAACCAAGCATAGCCAGAATTGAGGTACTCAGTGGACTCCAGAAATAGAGAGGAGTATCAATGTTCAGGAAAGTACAAGAGAAACTTGAGAAAAATGGAGTTTTAGTGGAAGTTTTTGCAACATCTCCGGCAAAACTGATCTTCAGGACAGATCAAGTGTTCAACTATTGATTAGAGTTCTGAATGCTTCTGGCTGTGATGATGTCTCTTTTCTGAGCTTTGATTTTTCAAATTTTTTGGGAGTTGTTCTTGTCTGTCTCCCAACACCCATTTAACTACACCAGCACGCTGCCCCTGCCCTGCCTCTCCCCCCCACCACACACACTAAATGCATTAAAAAATTAGCATTTGCCACTCATTCACTATTTTCTTTAAGATCTTTTCACCCAGTCAGGTAGCTGCAACAATACCATCCAACTCTGCTGGCCATTCACAAGATTTTAAGAGACATCCTGACAGGCAGTTATGGCCATTGCACATTTTTTCCAAAGTCAGAGTCAGTTCATGGATTTGCAGATAAAATTGGCTAAAATCAAAACAACTTTCAGTGTTTAATTGGCAATGCAGTCCCTAGCTGAGTCATCTTATATGGAATGCTAAGTGCTACCTAGCTATTGGTGCACTCTTCCAATTGAGTTTCAAATCCAATATTTGACCTCAGAATAATGGCATCCTCTATGTTTTAGAGTTCAGGTTCTTGCCTTTATACTAGGATGGAGAGACATTTAAATTTAAGCTTAGGATATGATCTTCAGTTAGCAAACCTGGAAGTCACCTTCCAACAAAGAGGGCTTTTTGATTGTACACAGTTAGCTACAAGCAATTCCACCCACTCATGTTGGTTAATGTGAAACTGGAGGCTTGTGCCCTGAGCCTCAATGAGCACTATGCATTTCCCACTCAACTAGGTGCACAACTAGCTAAGTGACTGAAGTGACTGGAAGTGCTTTTCTTCCAGAACTCAATTGCATATGAATAGTTTACACTGCTTTTGTACCTTGTGCAATGGGCTAGTTTGTTCAGCAACAAAAAAAAATTCTTTCCTAGCATAGTATTCTCCCAAGGCTTTATTCATGAGCCATAGGCTGCATTAACACTAGAAAATTTCACTCCCCCACCAATAGTGGCCAAGTATCCTGAAAGCAGACACCAGTGGTGAATCTAAAAAAGGATTTTGTTGATCAGGAAAAGCCTTGATTCATCTCTTACAGCACAGCCAAATGTTTCCAAGAGAAGTGATGGAATCTTCATTGCTTTGGACTGTGGAATTAGCCTGGCCAGACAAGACTTTTGTCCAGTCTATTGAAGGCAGTTTTACATTGGCAGGATATCAAAGGATCTGAGATGGTCTGATCTAATAAGTTTATAGAGAGGTGTTGGCATCTTGAGAGCCATTTGAAGGGGTAGGAAAGATGCAATACTGTTTATTTGGATACTTTGACTTGGGAAGTCTACTGATTTTCCTTTATTTAATGTGTTACTATTCCAGGCTTTTTATGTCTGGTGTGCTGTATTTAAAGCACAATCTTGCTCTCATTAAGGGGGTAAGCCACAGACCTCAGACTGAATTCAATCTATGCACAGTTAGAACCCTCTCCTAGAGAAGGTCCAGAAGAGGAGAGGACAATTTAGCTGGGCCTAGACTAGACAACAACATCCCTTCTGGCTTCAAGTCTGTGTAGCTGGAACAAACATTTACTTCTTATGACCAAGATGATTAAGAACAATATCCTACTTACCAGACACATGGAGTCCTCTTTGGAAGGCCTCATACATAGTTTTGGCATCCTCATAGTAATAACTAAGCAGCTTTTTCTCTGGCAAGAAAGTACTTCTTCGGGCACCTCCCTAGGGTCAGAGCACATGTTTGTAAGCGTTGTTGCAGAGCAGTGAACTGAAAGTCAGGTGTGTGACAGGCAGCTACTTCCTCCTCCAAACCTCTCCCAAAACCCCTTGGGGGGAGCTTTAACACACAAGCCTAAGATCAGTTAGGGGGATTTAAATTCCTCCCAAACGTCTGCTTGTTCATTGCTGATTAATCCATCCACTGTAGTCTCCAACACTAGAAAGCCACCGTAAGTTCAGGTAAACTTACTTCATCCTCCTTTATAATCAGACAGCCAGGGTGTTTACACAACTAGTAGATTCTGAAATATTGCACTTATTTTAGCCTCAGGACTGACATGTTATCAGATAGCTATTTCAATGAACTCATCAATAAATTGAGTAATTGCCACTGGTACCACTCAAGTAATCTAAAATGGTGCTGGTTTGGTCACAGCTAACAGCACACCCCCTATTAAGATTAAAGGAACAGTGGATTGAGAGTTTTGAGATTTACCCAAGGTCTTTCATGCTCCTACTCCCCTAAAGTTTAGGCATCAAGTCAGAAGTCTGGCCAGATCTCTGATTGGAGGACTGAAAGAAATTCCCCTAATTTAAGTCTTTTGTTTTAGTTAGCCCCCATATAAAAACAAAAACAGTTTTTAAAAAAAACTCATTCATCTACGGCAAAGTTTTCAGTTGTGGCTAGATCCCATTGAAAGTCAAAAAGAATTAAGCATTTTGCTTATTAATCAATGTAAGCATTACCTGAATTCCTATTGACTGGTTGTTCAGGTCAATGGGAGGTGTAATGGTCTTTGGTCTGGTTATTACCCATAAGAAAATTGTAGCTCCAAGAGTAATAAGGCCAATCAATGCTGGTGTTGGGAGTGGTGAAAACAAGAAATGAAGTATCCAAATCATGGTGCTGGATCAGCACCAGGGTGTTGGACCTGAGCAGAGAAACAGAAGGTTCAGCAGAGTGTTCTGATTAATGTGAATAGCTAATTTTAAGTACAAAATAAAATGCAAGATGTTTAGACAGGTGCTATGGGTGCCAAGTATTATGAATCAGTTAAGTGGGTTGCCTTTGAAGACCCCCTCATCCAGTATGTAATTGACACCATGCTTATGCAATGCTGTAGGTCCACTGTCTAGTTCTCAAGTCACCCATCCAGTAAGCCTACTCCACCCACTGTGAACACCAATAGACTCCTCATTCAGGAACGAAGATCAAGAACTTTAAATGGGGGGGGAGCTAGGAGGTTGAGAGGAAGAAGTAGTATCATTAGGACTGCATGATTACCACAATTGAAAGAAGTGGAAGTGTTAAGATTTGGAGGGGCTAGAGGCCTTGAAGTTTAGTCAGATCTTGCCTCAAAATCTTTCAGTAATCTAGCAGAAGCTCCAGACTGAACAATGAGAGGGGAAGAAAGGCAAGAGCTGGAAGCTGCTTGTTGAAGGAGTTCAGTGGTAAAAGGACTAAGGATAGATGGAGTCACACAAGTGGAAGGGAAGAAGTCAAAGGTAGGTTTTTCTTTGATGCCGGTTGCTAGAGCATTCTTGCATGTTAAGTAAGAAGAAGAAAAGGTAGCTGCTAAGAAGGAAGTAGGGACAAGGAAGGCAAATGGCTAGGAGTGGGGGAGGGTTGAGGCAGAGACTAGATGAAGACTCCTTTTCCCTATCACTGAGAAAAGGTCTTTTAGATTGGAAGGGCAGGTTCTCAGATAGTCTTGAGCAGCTATATGGATTTAGAAGTTTTATCCCTTTCTGTCCCCAACACCTATCATCTTACATTTGGTTAAAATGGTCACTGCTCTGCCTTGTGGATTTCATCTTTGCATTAAAAAACAAGGGAAACATTTAATAGCTGTCCAGCTAGTATCTATTCCCTCTACAGGAAAAATGCCAAGTCTGGTCATTTTTGTTGATATAATCTTGTCCTGAAAACCACAAAAGAATTGTTACTGAGGTATTTGTTTAGTAAATTAGTACACTTCTGAAATGCCAAGGAGCTACATCTTGATCTCACACGTAGCCAAGATCTGGCCACCTGTTTCATGCATAAGTAGTGCATGATGCCCACATTGTGGAGCATAGAAGCTTTCTGTAAAAACACTGTATCAGTGAAGCAGGAAGACTGAGGAACCACCACAAGAAAACCCTAAATATGGCAGAGTTCTGTTTCAGAAATGGTACCGGGGGAAGAGAACTGAAAGTGGAACTGCCCTAAATATAGACTATTGAAATGGTAAAATAGGTGAAGCTTTCCTCTACTTTAATATAGGATGCAGAAAGAAGGATAGTTTTTCAGCTCTTTGCTTATGTGTAGGCTAGGTACTCTCATCTTGGGGTCTATTACAAAAATGCATCTTATGTAGATTATGGCTATGTCTACACTACTGTGGTAAGCCAACCTAAGTTACACAACTCCAGCTATGTGAATAATGTAGCTGGAGTGGACATAGCTTAGGTTGACTTACTGCAGTCTCTACACCATGCTCCTCTTGTTCCCAGTGAACTACTAGGTTGACCAGAGAGCACTCTGCCATTGATTTTTTAGCAGGTCGAGTGAAGACCTGCTAAAAATCAACACCTGGTGCATCAATCCAACAGTAGTGTAGACATAGGCTATGTCTCGATAGCTTTCTGTAGGTGATTCAGAATGTGGTGCATCCATAGCTCCTGACAAGGATGGACCTGGGGTAAGACTAATGGGAATAAGGAATTTAGTTCCTGTTCTTGATTCAACCCTTAACTTCATGTTGTGTTTAAAATGAGCTGACCAAGTTTGCTGCCTGGAACTAGGCATTTTGCTCAAGTATTATTTTAGCCATGAGCTTGAACCAGACCCCTTACTGCAGTTCCCATCAAACTTAGATCTGGATTCTGACTTCCAGAGCCTCTTAAGTGTAACAGCAAACTAGATCTGAATACCCCAAGTTCTGAGTTTGGGTGTATGAGATCCACATCTGAATTGGAATTTTGCTGGTACTGCCTATCTTTATGATGGGCCAGCCCATAACCATGGATTTAAGCACAACTGATCACTGGGATGTTAGATCTAGTTCTGAGTTTCCATGTTTGTCTTTGTATAGTGCCAGAGTACAATGCTGTTTTCCTGGTAGCTTCAAATAGAGGGGATGCCATGGTTTTTGCCAACAAGTAGGTATTATTTCTCATTCTATGTGGCTAATGTTTTCTGATCATGGGCAGGATTGTTTCCTTTCCCCAAATGTATTTTCTTCACTCTGTTTAGTAACTGAACTAGTATCTTTTAGCCAAGTCTTATGTGGGGGGGGGGAGGGGGGACTAGTAAAGGATGAGCAGGGCAGGATGTGCCATAATTGTCAGTTTTTGGATTTCCTGAAACATGCTTCAGAACCAACAACCCCGCCTCCCAAACCAACTTATTTAAAATCATTTAAAATGTAAAAGATCACAATGTACATGTGGCACAAGTTTGTGCCAAGTCCACTTTTTCATGCTATTTTTGCCCACCTGCTTTCAAATGTCTCTAGTGGAGGAGAAAGGGCAGGCTCCTGAAAGAAAGTGGGGAGGACAAGGCTGCAAAATAGCATGCTTCTCCCACTTTTTTGGGGTAGGGGGTGGGGAGGGAGAAGGTCAGATGTTACATGGACTACTGGAGATCAATCAAGTGAAAATTAGGACAGAACAACTTTGAAATTGTTAAGTATGAATATAATATTGACTTCAGTTAGGCTACAGGGATGCTCAGACCAGAGCTGATCATGCTGAGTAATATTGTCCCATTGTTTCCTGAGGCAGTCTGCCTGTGTCTTATACTCAGATTGTAAGCTTTTTGGGGCAGGGATCCCCTTTTCCCCCCTGCATTTGTGTAGCCCTGGTCCAGGATTAGGGCTGCTAGTTACTATGATAATACAAATATTTAGTCTGAGAGCTGGTCAAAAAATTGACAGACCAGTTATCAAGTTTTACTGAAATATCAAATTGGACAGAAGTGCATTTCTGACAAGAGCACATTATCTGGATAATATCAAATTACTCCAATAAGGCTGATGTGTTTCATTTGGTTTGGTTCTGCAAGGTGTTTTGACTTTGTCCTATTTGGGACAAGTGTCAGAAGTTAGTTTTCTGACCAGCTGTGCTTAGGAATTGCTCCTTTTTGCAAAGAGTAAAGATTTTGAAAACAAGCAACTGACATCTTAAAATTGTACAGGTTTCAGAGTAACAGCCGTGTTAGTCTGTATTCGCAAAAAGAAAAGGAGTACTTGTACAGTAGAACCTCAGAGTTAGAAAAACTAGAGTTAAACTGACCAGTCAACCACCCCTCATTTGGAACTGGAAATACACAATCAGGCAGCAGCAGAGACAAAAAAAGCAAATCAGTACTGTGTTAAACAAGCTATTAAAAAATAAAGGGAAAGCAGAATATTTCTTCTGCACAGTAAAGTTTCAAAGCTGTATTAAGTCAATGTTCAGTTGTAAACTTTTGAAAGAGCCACCATAGTGTTTTGTTCAGAGTTACAAACAACCTCCATTCCAGAGGTGTTTGTAACAGAGGTTTTACTGTAGTTGAAACTCATCCTTGGCATTAAACAAAGAATGTTAGCTGGGTCACACCAGGCATAAATTTGCCCCAATGTTCTTATTTCTACAGCCTGGAAATAATTGTGTCCTAGTTCACATCTAATTGAGGTGTTAGTTCTCCTGCATGTACAGACTTATTTAGCAGGGAACACAAATGCTAATTAGAAGGAGCCCACAGCTGCAGTCTTTCCTTAACTAAAGGATTGTTAAAGCTTTTCTGAAAGAAGCACATGGCAGGTAACAGGAATTGATGCTTTATTTTGGGTCATAAACATAAGCTGTCAGACTTCAGGTTACATTTACTATCCCTAGCCATTTTTATGTTTCATAGTCCAAAATACACATTTAGTTTATTTCCATTACACTGGTTTTCCAGACAGGAAGTAGGGGATTCCCTGGGCATATTTGAAACAGAACACTCCCAGTACCAAGTCTGACCTAGGACAAATAGTTCATATTGACTGGTTCTTTGAACCATGTATTTAAGATACAGTTTGAGATATCATGAAGCCAGCTTCTGTTTGTTTACACCAGGTTTTACTAGCCACTTGAGATGTGCAGCAGAAATGCTATGTGCCATTTTAGATACCTTGAGACACCTGGCATCTGATTTTCCACCCATGGCAAACACCTGTGCTGCTACTGGTTTCAGTTAGTGGTCAGTGCTCAGCACTTTGAGGAGCCAGGTTCAATGCATCTTAAGCAGATTACTCTGCACCTCTGGTCACCTTTGAAAGTTCCACCTTACAGTAGTAAGTTCTGTGCTCCTTTTCAGGAGTGGTGGCCCCTGCATGATTTGTAAATCAGAGCAAAATTTGGCCTATAGAGGAACTGATTTGGTTCCCTATTTAAAAAAAAAAAGAGGGGGAGGGGGGTTTACAGCTTTTGAATCCTTTTGGCAGTTCATTCTCAGACACCTTCACTTCAACTAGGGCACTCTGGGTTTTAGTCTTGTTGTAGCACAATTTCTGCTCTTGGTTATGACTAGGCAACCCTATTGAAGCCAGTGGATTTACATGGGTTTTAACAGAGCAGGATTTAGTCCTGTTGCCTTATGGTTAGAGGCAGGAGATTACAGGATTGCAAAGAGCAAGTGATTGAGATAACAGACCAGTGGACTCCCACAGTGGTATTTATTCAGGGAAAAGTCTTGAGGCTGTCAGTGTTTGACCCAAGGATGTACGTACATGCATTTTGAGGTCTCACCATCTTTAATGGTCAACCTTCACTCCTATTAACATACATCATAGCTACATGTACAGGAAAGGGAGAAATATGTACATCATGTTCGCAATGTCCCAACACTGCTCCTCTATTTCTGTGTCCCATTAGTCTAATTCACTCCTCTGCCTTT